AGGAAAGTCAGAGCTGTGGTGCTGATCTAGGCTATGTTATTTAATTACTGACTGACTGATGACAGTGGTTTCATTACTGAAGATTGAGCCTAGAGCTATACACATGCTAGGCACATGCTCTATCACACTGAGTTGCCTCAGCTGGCCTTGAACTCTATACATAGCCCAGGGAGCAAGCAGCTGTGATTTCAGGACTGAGCCACTAGCCTGGCTTCTTTTTCAGACTAACCTGGAATTTACTGTGTAGACCAGGCTGGCCTTGAATTTACAGCATTCCTTCTGCCTCTACCTCTACCTCCTAAATTCAGGGAGTACAGATATGTATCAGAACACCTGGCTTCACAATTTATTTCAATGAGGAGATAAATATCCAACGGAAATAACATGGCCACCAAGTCAAGAAACAACACCAATGGCAGGGACTCCACATTAAAGCCAGTGTCTAAAATTTCTGGCCAGAGGTTCATTTGGCTCCAGGCAATTGTGAGCCTGGACACTGCCTGTCAGTCTTAGGGAAGGTTACTGTGTATATCAGTGAACTCTGGACACAGGAAAAGCTGGAAGGAAGGAAGCACAGGCAAGTAAAAGAGCTTCTGGAAACATACCAATAGACTGCAGATTTGGAACAGGCATCAACACTGGTAGATCAAGTAAATAAAGAAATCCCAAGGGTGCAAAGAAACCCAGGCAAATTCAAGCACCACGAGAGAGCGTGATGGAATGGGACAGAAGTACTAAAGTAGCCTGGGCATGGAAAATGAAAGCAGCCATAATTCCAAAAGAAAAGCAGGCTTCATCCAATGGCTCCTCTGATGTCAGTGCAACTAGACCTTTCTAACAGGACCCAGCTGGGGATTGCTGGAAATGAGAAGCGTGCAGAGCAGAAGCGACCCTCTCTCTCATGCCTCAGTTCTGTCTTTCCTCAGTCCCACAGCCCCAGATCCCTGTCCTAAATCAACCGCAGACTACCTGCTAAGGCAGAAATTGTATGACACCTGAAAAAGTGGGGATCCATTATACACCACACACACACTACACTGATTCACTAGATACCGTACTATACATTCAAGTGTAACCTTAAAGATTTAGGATCAAGAAACAAATGTTATCATAACAACTGCTAAATCTAATTACAAATTTCATACACTCCGAATAAACAGCCAGATAGAAGAAGAAAATATGGCCAGGGTGTAGTAGCTGTAATTGTTTAATCCCAGCACTCAGGCGGCAGAGGTAGGAGGATCTCATTGAGTTCAAGGCCAGCATGTTTACGTACATAGTGAGTTCCAGGATGGCCAGACTCTATCTCAAAAGAAGGAAGGGGAGGGGTCGGGGGAGGAGGAAGAGGGATGAAGCTGGGCGTTATGGCACATGCTCATGATACCAGTGCAAGTGCAAGGATGCCACCCTGATTTAAACACAGAGATGGTATCAAAAAAAAAAAAAAGCAAAAAACAAAAAAACAGCAGCAGATGAATGAGAAGCATCAGGAGGACGAGGAAGAGGAGGAAAGGGCACAGACTGGATGGTAGTTTGGCCAGGTGTGGTGGCACAAGCTTTTAATCACAGAACTCTGAGTTTGAGGCCAGCATCTCTACATAGCTTGTTCCAAGAAGGTCACAGCTACATAAAGAGAACCTGTCTAAATAACAACAACAACAACAACAATAATAGTAGTAGTAGGAGAGTAGAATTATGTAAAATGTTTTTTAAAATGTCTTTGAAAAGTAAGTATCTCATGTTGGCTTTTCTAATGCTAAGACCCTTCAATACAGTTCCTCACGTTGTGGTGAACCCCAACCATTAAATTATTTTTGTTGCCATTTCATAACTGTAATTTTGCTACTGTTATGAATTTCAATGTAAATATTTTTTTGGAGACAGAGGTTTGCCAAAGGGGTTGTGACCCACAGGTTGAGAAGGGAAGAAAAGTAAGGGAAAATGTTATAATTTTATTTTAATATCAAAAATTAAAGAGTCAGGCAGTGGTAGCATATGCCTTTAATCCCAACACTCAGGCTCGGAAAGTTCAAGGCCAGCCTGGTCTACAGAGCAAGCTCCAGGACAGGCTTCAAAGCTACAGAGAATCCCTGTCATGAAAAACCAAAAATAAATAAATAAATAAATAAATAAATAAATAAATAAATAAGAAAAAGAACTGTTGAAGATGACAGTGGTGATGTGCATGTAAACCTAGTACCCAGAAGGCTGAGAAGCACTGTGGATCTGAAGCTGGCCTGAGTACAGTGAGAGCCTACCTCAGAGAGATGGAAGGAAGAAAGGGAGGAAGGAAGGGAGGGATGGAGGGAGGGAGGAAGGAAGGAAGGAAGGAAGGAAGGAAGGAAGGAAGGAAATTAACAGAAAGTAATTTCAGTCTTCTTTTTCTGTATTTGTGATAAAAGGATAGGTTAAACTATGCGGATAAACAGTATTGGGGACTTTGGCACGCAGAACTATGGACTGTCTTAAGTCAGATAATTCTTCATCGTGTAATCGGGGCTTTCTTGTGTGTTTTGAGATGTTGAGTTGCATCCCTAGCGTCCACTAGATGCCAGTAGTACCATAAACCAAAACATGGTTATCAAAAATGTCTTCAGACATTGCTAAATGTCTCCTAGGGGACAAAACTGGCCCCCATCTGAGAACCACTATACTCAAATGAGATCATCTGACATCAAATGTTTGCTTTCATGCCCTCCCCAGCTGCCTTGCAAAAGTGTCTTGTCTCTTGTCCAGTTTCACTTGTTTGTTGTATGTCTCCTGACTCATCTTGCAGACAATTTATAATGCTAAGTATATGATATCAGAGATGGCTCCTGGGCAACAGCCCACAGCAGCATCAACACATGCAGTGTCTCCAAGCCAGAGAAGGCAGACTGCAGGCAGAAAGCCTGCATTGTGTTAAAGTCACACAAAAAACAATTCCCAGAGACAGCAGGACAATAGGCCCTTGTTCCTCAGCTCACGATCCACATAAAATCATCTTCCTCACAAGAGCAGCTTACAAGAACAGCTCATCCCTGCCTCAAGCTCAAAGTGCTTTCACTGGGCAACAGTGAACAATCTGAACCTTTGGTGAAAAGAAGCAGTGGGCAATACTAAGAAAAACCAGTACACTGCCAAGAGATAATGCCAAATACTGATGCCTGCTTTTGGTCTCAAAGATGATTTACCCAGCAAATGTATTCTAGAAACTGCTTGTTGATAGTCTGTTAAGCAGTGTATGACCAACAGAATATATTACTTAATAGGTCAATAAGGAAATGTAATTTTTCACTATTAAAAAGACAATCTTACCAGTTGTTAATTCCAGCTATTTGGGAGGCTGAGGCCAGAGGGTTGCCAATTTCAATACTAATTAGAATATCACACATCATTCAAACAGTAAAACAAAATAAGGCAAAAATTTACTAGCGCATTGGAATATTTAAAATTCGACCACATTTTCCCATAAAAAAGATCATGAATGGGGTACTTGGGTGTACGTCTTTAAGGAGGCAGAGGCAGATAGATCTCAGAGTTCAAGTTCAGCCTGGTCTACACAGTGAGTTTCAAGCCATTTAAAGCTACAAGAGACTCTGACTCCAAATAAACAAAAAAACCAAAACCACAAAACAGAAAAAAACAAAAAACCTTGCAGAAACAAAAGATCATGAATTGGGGCTGGAGAGATGGCTTAGTAGTTAAAAGAACTTAATACTCTTCCAAAGGACGTGGGTTTTATTCCTAACACCTGCATGGTGGCTCATAACTATCTGGAACTCCAGTTCCAGGGCATCCAATGTCCTCCTGTGGCCTCCAAGGATACCAAGAACACAAATGGTGCACATACATACATGCAAGCAAAACACTCATACAACAAATTAAAATTAAAACAATTTCTTTAAGAAAGATCATGAACTAAGAGTCAATATAGACTTACCATCTAGAATTTCTTCAGAAAATCCTGTTTTCTCAAAATCAGTGGTATTCTGACTGTATAAACCAAATAGAAGGTAATTTGCCAGCTCTCTGCAACCTTCGTTATACCTGCTGTCAATTCCTGCAAGGCAAAGAAGGCTGTGACTAGCTATCTCATACCATGGAACACAATAATCACCAATGACTTGCCCATTTAGTAAAGCCCTGATGGCCAGAGGCAGTTCAAACCAGTTTTGAGCTAAAACTAAATAAACCACCCCTTGTGAAAGAAACAGGCTGAAGCATAAGGCACCTTCCTTGGATCTCAAGATCTACATAGATGGGGAAATTAAGGAACAAAGATTACTAAAGCTATTGATTTCTGAAAAGCTTTTTTTTTTCTTTCAGTTTTTAGTTTACATGTATATGGGTATTTGGCCCACATATATGTGTATGTACCACGTATGCTTGGTATCCAATGAATCCAGAATAGTACCCTCTAGGATCCATGAGATCCCCTAGAATTGGATTTACAGATGGATGTGAGCCACCATGTGGGTACTGGGAATCAAACTTAGGTCCTCTGGAAGAACATGAAATGCTCTTAACTACTGAGCCACCTCCAGCCCCATAAAAAGCAATTATTAGGGGTAGAAAGAACCAGAGAATATGGTCTTCTACTGATTTACTAGATCTTGGAATACTTTCAGTTAGCCCAAGAATAGATCTCAGAGAGATCTTTATGAAAAATGTGTGATCAAACAAAAGCAAGTTAAGGTGGTTTGAAAAGATGAGGACAAGAGGGTGGAATAGAATAATAAGCCCTAACCCTTCACAATCGTCAGAAGCAATGCTTAGCATGCACTGCAAGGTGTGGTGTGATGGTATGTGTTCCTGCAATGACCCTCACTTATGATTAGTCTAGAAAAGTTTGACCAGAGACAAGAGGAAATTAAGCGACACTGTCTTTACTACTGCCTCTCAATGTCTGAGTTATCCTGGGGCTACCTACAGTCATGTGCAGAATGGCAGGGGCAGGAGCACACAGATGCTGTCTATAGGATTTTAAAAAGAATGGGTTGCAGCAGGAGCTCCAAGAATGGTAAGAGCTCCTTATCTCACTGTCATCTCTCTTAATATTCTCCCACAATAAAACAGGAGCAGATTTCACAGGGACAAAAACTGGGAGGACACTAACCTACAATGTATCCCCCATGACAGCATTATTAGTGTCTTCCTGAGATCAAGAATACAAACCACTGCCACTGTGAGTCCCACCTTACAAAGCACTAACCTAGGATGCAGAGAATCCCATCAGGCTGTGACTTGCTGCTCTGTGTCATGATGTTCTGAACCTGGCGGAGTCGGCTGCAGCTGTAACAGAACACAGTTTCCTGAGTGCAGCAGTGTATGAAAAATCCCTAAAAGGCACATGCATGCGGAATGGTTTTGTTAGGTATGGAAACTGACACTAGTCTCTTTAACCAGAACCATACCCTTCTCTTCCATTTTCTGGACGAGATGATTATGTGCAAGTAGTCTAAAGACAACCTGAACTACTGATTATGAACTAGACTGTCAGTGGCTCTTTGGTTCAGTAAAGGATGACACACTAAGGCCCCATTCATAATCAATCAGGAGATGACTCCAAGAATTCCCAATGTCTTTTTACTGCTGTTTCCATGTTGATTTAGCCTAATTTTAGTCTTTATCAGTCTGCCTCAAAAGCAACAAACAAAAGCAAAAATTGGTATAAAGGGTTCATATGTCTTAGATAATAAAGGATCAATAAACTAAGCTCCAATTCATCCACATGACCATCCTTAGGGAGTCTCAGCACAGGAGAAACACTTGATTTCTAGAGAGTTATTACTCCTTTGGCAGAAGCGACATTCCTTGCACCCAGGCAGAGTGTAAAGAGACATGTATTCCTAAATAATAAAATCTCTATGGACTCTACTGCCTCCCTATCTCCCTCTATTCCTTCTCAGTAAGCCCAAAGATGAGCTCTCAATGTAACAGTCAAGTCTGATCCTTTACCACCTCCAGGTCTAACTCCCGACCCTCCTGGAACATTCTTAAGTGTTCAGTATCATTAACCATTAGGAATGCAAACTAAAACTACTTTGAGATTCCACTTTATCCCAGTCATAATGGCTATCATTAAGAAAAAAATAACAACAAGTGCTGACAAGCATACAGGGAAACAGCAGCCCTATACCAGTGGGTAGGGGTTTATGCGTGGTAGAGATAGAAACTGGTACAGACACTATGGGATGCAGTGTGTGGAGGTTTCTCAAAAAGCTAAAAATAGAACTACCATATGGCCTCAATATACCACTCCTAACTTCATATCTGTAGACAGAAATATTTGTATATCTATTTTACTGCTGTCCATTTCAAAATAACCAGGAAATGGAATCTGCTTAGATGTCCATCAACTGATGGATAATGACAATGTGATACATATACACATCAGAATTTTATTCATCTGTAAAGAGAAATGAAATTATCAAAATTTCAGGAAAACAGATGGCGGTGGATGCTGAAGTGAGATAATCTAAGCCCAGAAAGACACACACCACATGCTCTGTATTATATGTAGTTCTAGCTTTGAGTTTTCTTTTCTTTTAAAAAATGCTAATCATATGTGTATGCATGCAGGTGCCCACAGAGGTCAGAGGCATAGGGGTCCCCTGGAGCTGGAATTAAAGATGGTTGTGAGTCACTCAATGGTGGTGCTGGGAACTGAACTCAGCCCCTAGTTTCAAATTTTAAGATTTCTATATTTAACTTGTAATGTTTGTAGAGGTCAAGAAGTCAGAAAGGGTGAGAGGGGAGGGCAAGAAGCTTTAACTGGGGGAGGGGATCTAGCAAACAGCTGCTATCAAGTAGGAGAGAATATTGGCAGTTAAAGGGTTAAATAGGTTGGGGGTAGGGGTTGAGGGAAGAGAAAGGAGTAGGGGTGGGGTAACCAAAACTAAGGATTTATTTATTTAATTTATTTTTATTTTCTGTGCGTTGGTGTTTTGCCTGCATGTCTGTGTGAGGGTGTCAAATCTTGGGAGTTACAGTTGTTAGCTGCCATGTGAGTGCTGGGAATTGAACCCATGTATATATATATATATATATATATATATATATATATATATATTTTTTTTAAGGGCTCATGGAAACTCACTACAATGTCATTTTAAAATATGACTTAAAGGATTAGAGAAATGGCACTTGGTGCGCTTCCAGAGAACCAGAGTTCAGTCCCAAGGCCCAGGTCCAGAACTCAGTACCCACTTTGGCAACTTACACCTGCTTTTAATGCCGGTTCCAGGGGATCCAATGCCCACTTCTGGCCTCCTAGGGCACCTGTATGTACACAGAACCACACACAAACATGCACACACACACACACACACACACACACACACACACACTCCTACCTACCTCTCCTAAAAATATGACTTAAAAAGCGTTGAATGGGCCAGGTGGTGGTGGCACATGCCTTTAATTCCAGCACTGGGGAGGCAGAGGCAGGAGGATCTCTGTGAGTTCAAGACCAACCTGGTCTACAAGAGCTAGTTCCAGGACAGGCTCCAAAGCCACAGAGAAACCCTGTCTTGAAAAACAACCACAACAACAACAACAACAACAAAAAAAAAAAAAAAAAAAAAAAAAAAAAAAAAAAAAAAAAGAGTTGAACGGAGGTACCCTGCATGGATAGACAGTGCTGTTCACAGAAGATATGGGCTATTAAATGAAAATCCCAGTACCAGGCATGGGATACAACCCTACAAGTTATTGATCAGGAAGGCTCCAGAGGCTCCCCCAAACAAGACAGGCTATTGCCACTGCTCTTGGTTGCCCACCAAAAACAGAGAGTAAAGAGCTGGAGAGATGGCTCAGTATTAAGAGCACTGGTTGCTCTTCAGAGGATCTGGGTTCAATTCCCAGTATCCACATGGTGGCTCACAACCATCTATAACTGCGGATCAGGGGATCTGACACCCTGTTCTTGCCTCTGTGAGCCCCAGGCACACAAGTGATGCATAGAAATGCATAGATAAAGCATACACTTGAAAAACTTCAAAAAATATATTGTAGGCTGAGCATGGTGGTACATGTTTTTAATCCCAGCACTTTGTAGGCAGAGATAGGTGTATTTCTATAAATTCAAGGATAGCTTGGTCTACATAGTGTGTTCTAGGCATATATATATATATATATATACTTACATATATCTGGAACTGACTAGACTTTCTGATGGTCAGCTTTCACAGTGCTGGAATGTGCTATCCAGGCTGCTGAAGGAGAAAGACATCAGTAGTCATACGCAACTCCGGACCCTACATGCTACAACAATGACCTGCCAGGCAAGATGTGCCCACTGTTATAATAATGATGTCATGAATGCTATAGGTTAACCAATCACCTTATGACTGGATTTCAGGCCAAGCCACAGAAGAAAATCCATGTCTGGTACTGTAAACTTGGCCCAAGGCCCTTGGCTGGGGTGGTCACAGGAACTAGGTGAAACCTAGTACTATTGCTTTCTTCAATGGAAGTCATGGAATTGCTTTCTAAATATTTGTGTTTACACTCACAGAGCTATGCTCCTCCTTGCTCAGAGAAACTTCCTTTTGCAATGGGGAGTGGTTAATGTAGAAGCTCACACTGGCCAAAATGCTGAGAACAAAACAGGTGGCTATGAGTGACTAACTGGGACATTCACAGGAATCCCACCACCATGCCAACAAGGCTTTGTGAACATCACAGAAGAGGACAAAAGACTAAGAACTGGAGGATAGGGAGCAGTACTACAAAGTGTGGTCTTCCGGACAAGATACAACCACTGCACACGTGACCTTACAGTGGGTGTGGTTACCTGCACAAAATCAAGACAGTCAAAATGTCCTTTCTTGTCTGTCTGTCTGTCTCTCTCTCTCTCTCTCTTCTCTCTCTCTCTCTCTCTCTCTCTCTCTCTCTCTCTCTCTGCTTTTCAAGACAGGTTTTCTCTGTATAACAGCCCTAGCTGTCCTGTAACTCATTCTGTAGACCAGGCTGGCCTCAAACTTGCCGACATCCGCCTGTCTCTGCCTCCCAAGTACTGGAATTAAAGGCGTGCACCACCACCACTGCCCAGCTCAAGTCAAAAAAATGCAACATGGCCGAGGAAAGGGTTCTGAGTTCCCATTGCTAGCTGAGGAGCAATTGGCTGCTAAGGAAGAGAGAGTCAGTTTTGCTCAGGGGTGTGATTACCCAGTGTAGTACACATATCAATTCTCCTCAAATTAACATGCAGGGTTAACACAATTAGGATCAACTGCCAAGAATTTTATGGATATAGAAAGGTTTATTCTAAAATATATGGGGGCTAGTGAGAGGAAAGAGTTCCAAGCCAGCCAGGGTTACACAGTGAGACCTGCTTCAAAAATAAATGAATAAATCTACGTGGTAGGCTTCGTGAGTATTCATCATACTATCCTTTCCCTTTGTCTGTAGTTTCACAATAAAAATTAGAGGCAGTGAGGAAAGAGTCATATGGGATAACAAGGTTTAGAAGTAATAGTGGCGGCATTGGTGGTGCATGCCATTAATCCCAGTACTTGGGAGGCAGAGGCAGGCGGATCTCCATGAGTTCGAGGCCAGCCTCGTCTACAGAGCGAGGATAAACTCCAAAGCTACACAGAGAAACCCTATCTCGAAAAACCAAAAAAGAAGAAAAAGAACAGTGTAGAAGTGGCAAGATAATTTTAATATTAAATAAACTTCTTTCCCTGAGAAATGATGCCTACCTGGCCCTGTATGTTTTCTTTCTTAATAGAGGACTGATGTTGCAGTCATTTCTCCACTAGAAAGACGGCACAAGCTAGACCTTTGGCCCATTTTCTATTCAGGACAGTATGCTGACTGACTGCCAAGGTTACCAAGAGCTCTTTGGTTTACAAACTTATAACCAGCCACTGACAAAAAGCATGACCAGATCATGTGACCAGGAAACAAAAGCGTTTCCCTGGTAACTGCTGTTGAAAGCCAAGACAATACCGAAAATAGGAGACTTTTTCCTCCTTGTACCCTGTCCAGTCCAAATAAAGTAGGAGCACATAAATGTAAAGAGTGTCTTTTCTCCTTAAGTAGAACATTATCCTGATTAATGCTTTCTTAGCAAATGGGGAAAGCCAAATTCAATTTTTTCCCTTTGCACATTTTCTTGCTTCTCAAATTTAATCTTTAACCAGAATATAGCCCATTTGTCACTGAACCTTTAAGTATTAGTTACTTAATTATTTACTTTTAACTAAAAGCAAAAAAAAAAAAAAAACCAAAAAACCCAATTCGTTCAAAGAAAAGTCACACTCATAATCCAGAATTAATTACAGTTAACATACTGGCATATCTGTTGTTATTCATATTAGTGCTTTT